GAATCTCAAGCGTAAATTGGTGTAAGTGAAACAGAATTGTGGCAGCTACTACTTTACACCCATTAGTGTAAGAAAGAAGCATTTATTCGATATACCACTTTATGGTAAAGCCACCCATTTTTTTTACAAGATTTGCAGTGTATCGAATGTTTTTCCTCAGTAAAATAAAATAAACATCAGTAAAATAAGTAAAAAAATCCGATAAAAAAAGATAAAGGACATTTTCTCATTATTTTTATTTATTTATTTTACTTTTCTTAGTTTTGAAATAATTAATAAACTTAGAACCACAAATTAGTAATTCATTAAAAAAAAAATTGATAAAATTCAAAAGAAGGAAAGAAGAATTCATGGAAGGACTCTTTCGAAAGTTCGAGAAAGTCAATTTCATGCTAAGGACAACTGCTCGCTCACACCCTATAAACTAATACAGATGTTAGAACATCATTTTCTAGCATTGATGCTTTTCGTGCATTGGGTAGATTAGCTGTTATTCGCGTGATCTGTCTCCATAAAAAGATCCCCCCCCTCATATTATGTTTCAGGGAATAATAAACAACTTTTTTCCGCAAAAATGACATCTTATCTTATTCCTCACATACACACACACATATACATATATATATATATATATATACATATACANTTAAATTAAGTAAACAACCGGTCACTTTTACTCATCGTTTTTTTTAATCGTTTAGAGATAAAAGTAGTTCAATGCAGAAAGAGACTCTGGATAACAGAATTTTTATTAGTATGTACAATACCTCAATTTAAAATTTTGATCATCCTGCATCCATCTACTTGTGGTGGAAAGATTTATGAGAAAAGAGAGTTCCTTGACAATTCACACATTTTAAAGTTGCAATGTATACATTAAAAGTACAAGTATTTGTAACGGAAATGTCGAATGAAATCGTTACTTTTTTCTAAAACTCAGTAAGCTTTCTAAAATATTTTAATATCTAATTATTCATAAAAATTTTATATTTCGTATAAATTTTAATATCTAATTATTTTCTATTTATAGAATAACATTTTATATTTATTTGAAACATTTTTCATTCATTTAAGTATGTTAATTTAAAATTTTGGTAACAATGTGTGCGCATTGGATGCTTTTTTAAATAATTTAAGTAACTAATTTCATATTACTATTACAAAAAATTTTGACACAAGTTTTACATTTTTTAACGTTAAAGTTTTAAATTATAAAAACAATGCTTTATTTAATGGAGATGTAGTACGCATTAAAAAAAATCTAAAATATTATAATTTTTTTAATTTTGCAACAAAATATCTTTTTTGAATTATATTAAACGTAACATATATACTATTACGAAACGTATTAGTTATTCATTTCATAAAATTTTAAAATGAAACATTTGTTTATAATTTTTGGATTTAGTATTGCACATCGTGGATTATTAGTTATTAGTTATTTATTTCATAAAATTTTAAAATAAAACATTTGTTCATAATTTGCGCATCGTTATTACAAATCCAAAAATTACCATTATGAAATATTTCAAAATGAAAAAAATTTATAGTTAAAAACAAAATATAATTTGTAGTTTATTGGATTTATATGGGTTTCCTGTATATGAATGTATTTTTTTTAAATTTATTTTCTAACATAAGTTGTAATGTTTATCGAATTTGTCGAACAAGGTAATTTATTTATAAAATAAAGCTTCCGAAAATAAAAACAAAATTAAAAAAAAATTTTATAGTTCTAATATTAACATAAATCTAAGCTCCTTTTTATATGTAAACAGATAATTTTGATTTCTGGTTTGGCTCCTGGGTATTTAATGTCCATAACTTTCAAAATTAAAAATAATTAAATAAATAACAACAATTTTGCAAAAACATTAGAGAATATAGGAATATTATTCAATAAAATTTTAGGTTACTTTGAATTTTCGATTTCCTAGAAATGTACTTTTAAATCGTTACTTTTTTTGTTTAGTACTTGTACTTTTACTTGTACTTTTTACTCGTTACTTTTTAAATATTTTTATTAACTTTTATTTACACATATATTGTACTATGTATCTATAAATTAAGGAATGAAGCGACAATAAAGAATGAAAGAAAAATTAAAAATAAATTTAAAAGCTTGTAGTTTATTTAGAGTACGCTATATCAAGGGAGAAACTTTTCGTCTCAAATTCTGTTTCATGTCCATTGAAACATAAAAGTTGAAAGTTTAGAGATCAGTCTGTTCTGACATTCCTAGAGTAAGTCAAACTCTCGAAATACAAACAAATTGTGAGACGATTATTTAAGATTATGCTGTGGGCAAGTTCTTCAATAATTTGTTTGCATTTTATTATTTTGAAAATATTCTCTCATCATCAGATTTACTCTCGACAGAAACATCTATGGAGATGAAGCAGAATTTCCGACGAACAGTTTCTTACGTGGTATAGCGTCCTCTTTAACTACGCAAGTTGCAAGTACCCCAAGCTGCAAGAAAAGTTGCAAGTACCCCATGATATAAGAATAAAGTTCAAAGAGAACAGGAAAAGAACAAAAAAGAAACAAAAAGATTTTAAACAAAAGGGAAAAAAATATATCAATAGATTTATTAATATGTATATATCTATATAGCTCATTATAAAGGGATAAAAAGAAAAAAACGAAGAAAATTAATAGGTTTTATTAACTACGCATAAGCTTCAAGTATGAAGAACTCATAAAATATGTTAAAAATATTGAGAAAATATGAAAAATGGAAACATTAATGAAAGCAGAAGAAGAAAAATTATTAAAATAAAATAGTTTTAAAAAATATATGTTAAAAAGTCACAAAAGAAAAAAAAAAGAAAAAGATATAATCTCTTCATCAGCTCACACGATTATATCCTCCAAAAAGGAGTGCTCTCTAATATTGTATCAATATAGCGAAATATATCAATACAATAGACTGAGAAGAATTCAAAAATTTTTTTAAAAAACTTAAGCAAACTATAACACATTAAGTAAAAAATGTATCACTCAAAATCTATGTATCTTTCGGCCTCTACAATTTTATAAAATGTAACTTCTTTTCTATTCTGTGCGATTTAGAAAGTGTAGTTCTATTAAACAATTGTTTAAGCCTAGGCTTTCATATGAACAAATAACTTAAAAATACATTCAATATTGTAGCTTTTTTTAAGAAAAAGATACTTTTAATTTTTTTTAATTTCATTAACTTTTGTGTCACATCTTTCAGATTAGCTTGGTGATTAAAATTAAATTGCATTGAATAGAAAATTGTATATTTTATTTATTTTTCCAAACAATAAACAATTTTTTTAACAAAAAAAAAAAAAAGAATTTGAATAAATGCTTTTGCATCATCTTGAAAAGAAAAACATTATTAATGCGTTTTCTATTTTTAAAATGCGAGCGAAATTTTAAAAAATCAAAGAATTAAAAAGTAAAGTAAAAAGAAAGAAGCTTCATTTTATATGCAAAAGTGCATCCTTCATCATTTGGTTACTCCCCACATAAGTTTCTGATGTTTCTGATGTTTCAAAGTTTGAATGTATTTCACTCTCTATTAACAAATAAAATTATGCAATTTGAATGTTTATACTAAAAATAAAAAGTTTATGCTAAAAATGAAATATATCAAAGTGTGATAAATAAATTCTATTAAAACTACATTACATGTTTGTTAAAGGTACTTTACATTCCAGTTACTTATTTTTTTTATAAAATGAAATACTCACTTTTAAATATAAAACTAAAATAATTTGTAAAACATTTCATAAATATATACGATAAATGTATTTTAAAAGTATGGGGAAACCAATTTAAAAACAACTGCAATAGTTCGCAATTTTTTAAAACCTTTTTTACCGACCTATCCTTTCATAGCTTTGTAATTTTAAAGTCACATTAAAGTGTAAATTAATATCGTAGATATAAATGTACACAATACTAAACAATACATAATATTAAATGATACATATGTACTAAATATATATCTATATATACATACTAAAATTTGAAAGATGATGGTAGTACTGACAGAGTTCAAATTATCTTCTTTCGTAAAAAGAAAAAGAAAGAAAGTTTGATTAAATTATGTTATTTCCTTAAAAAAAATCTAAAATACCGGCAAACAAATAGTGATGTCTTCTCTTCCCAGAGTAACAAAAATGCCTACAAAACAATTTATCGTATATTAAAATGTAAGTTCGTTACTCAAACTTTATATAACTAAAAATAGGTGTCAAATTAATAGAAAGTTTGTCAGTAGAATTTTTAAACTAAATGCTAAATGAAAATTATACTCTAGAAATAGTGTTGGAAAGTATTTCGTATTAGTATACGTACTCTACATACATCATGATCGATGTCACGTACAGAACTTATGCGTATTATTGAATTAATTTTTCGTTTAACATTTTATTCCACTCTCTATTAAGACATTTTTCTCATAATTTTATCTCATTATCATTGTGCATAATTTTAAGGGGAAAATAAAGAAAATCTTAATCACATTTACATCTCTCAATGCCCCTCAAGAATTCTGGCCCCAAGGGATTTGGAGTCTTGTTATATCTTTATGTGTTTTTTTTTTACTTAATTATTCTAATTAGCTTTCATGATTTTGAAAATTATTTTATTATTTGAAGATTACACTTGGTACATTGAGTTTTTAGGGTAATTAAAATGTGTTTAAATTTGTTAAAATTATTGCATGTTTTAAAAAATGCTTTGTTTTATGTATATTAAATTTTTTAGTTCGATTTTAAACAGTATGACACATTGAAGTCTGAAATATTTCTGTGCCCGGGGGCGCTGATGCCAAACTCGCTACTTCTATATTTAAAACGAGCCCTTCTCACAGGATGCATTCGTATGGCTGCGAAAGGCATGCAAAAAAAACTGGAAGGCAGTAGGAATGGTCCTATAAAAAATTTGACTAGAAAAGGATCGCTCGGCTAAGAAAATCTTATGGATACTTTAACTTAACAAAAATAGAAAGCCGGAAGCTTTTCTATAAAATAAATAAATTATTATTTTGATTGCGAAAAACGTTGTTTTGTTTGTAAATGTTAATCATCTGATGATAAATAAAATTTGTACGTAGCATAAAATTAACAGCTGGTGTCGCATAGTTTATTTTTGTTTCATATCCATTATGATGCTTCAACTTTTTAAAAATAGTACATTTTAATTATTGGAAAATCGAAATTTTTTGTTTCTGATCAAGATAGAAGGTTGTATCTTTCATAATAATTAATATATTTAATCAGTTACAGTATAGTAAATTTTGTGGTATAACATATTTATTCTGTGAAAACTTTTGATAATCATTTTGCATTGATAATTTTTATTAATTTTTGCTAAGATATTAGGATTTTCTCATATGATAACTTTAATGATCAGTTATTGCCTTATTTCTATAATGTTGTTCAAATAATCATCATATATTATACTTTGTGTTAATGAATTGAATCGTTTCAATTTTATTACATTTCATTTTAAAGTAAAATAAAGTGTTACAAGTTTCGACAATATATACTTAAGTGAAATAAAATTGTTGTAAGTGTTATCATAACAAAAATACCTGTTTGTCAATAAGAATTGTTCATCTTTTAGAGTATACTATTGCAATATACAAATTTAAAATACTTGGCGTATTAAAAAGTTGTTCTAATCAAGTTACTAATCTATGCATTCATTTTAACTTAGTATTTTTCAATAATAGAAAGAATGTTTTATTTCTTCTCATTTAATTTCATTAAATAAATGTCAAAAATCTCATAAAAAATATCTTAAATTTAAGGTTTTTGAAATTGAAGGCTATTGAAAGACAATTTATTCAGAAAAAGTATGTTTACTTAAAAGTATCAGATGGCTACAGTCATTTTTTTATAGTAGAAAAGTAGCAGGGAAATGATTTTGTGTTGAAAGTGATGCGGAAACAGCCATCCGTCTCTGAAATTGTATATATATTTAATTCTTTGTGTTTCTATATTTTTTTTAAAATTTTATTTTTAAAAAAATAGAATTAAATAATTTCTCTGGGTTGAAATTTTACACATTTAAAAATGAGTTCTACCTATTAAGTGAAATCAACTACAAGTCTGTTGAAAAGTTAGTACCTATTATCTTAATTTCATACAAATGGTTATGCTTCTACCTATTATTATTCATCATTAGAGCTTACCTAGTATTTATTTCAGTTTTATTTTATTTACCATATTTATATACATATATATATATATATATATGGTAAATAAATTATCTGTTTTTTTATTTTTATTGTCTGTGGATACCCCTGTTCAATAAAATGCAAACAGAATGGCTATCTTAGTGTTAAATTTTTTTTATTTTTTAAATTGAATTATTAAATGAATATCTAGTAAATATAGTATAGTAGTACACAGTTATTAAGTCTTTACTAAATTAATTTAGAGACAGAATTTATGCATATTTAAGCTAAAAGTTATATTGTTTTTTAATAGACTCAGTAAAATTATAATGACATTTAGAGAATTATAAAATATTAATTAAAAACGAAAACCAAATAATATTTGATTAAAATTATAGCTTTATTTTATTAAGTTTTAAAATTTGACGTGATTTAAAATGTTGCAAGATAAAAGAAAATTAATTTTTATACTTACATTTTTAATGTCAATACACAATACATATTCAAAATATAGGAAATAATAGATGCCTATTTTTAAAGTTAGGCTGTACATTGCTAGATATGAATTTGTATTTTTTTTAAAAAATCTGTTCCTTATTATTCAGTATCTATGCAAATGCTTCTAAAAATATTTTCGTAATTTTATTTATTAGAGTGAATCTATTATTTTTTTTTTACTGAAAATATCTTAAAATAAATCTTACTTATTTTTTTTAAACTTTTGTGGTTTAAATCAATTCATATTAAGCAAAGTTTAAATTATAAACTGAGCTTTTCAAACAAGTGATTGTCCAATCCATGAGTTGAAAGTTGAGTTGAATAGGTCTTTAACAATCCACTCTCCTGTTTGGCATTTTCTAACTTAAAAAAAACTTGATTCTTGTCTTTTTTTAAAATTTTAGGTAGAAAATTTTTAAATAAATAAGTGCTTTGTGTTATAATTGGGATCAACTACAGTCTAATGGAAAATCTGCAAAAGACAGAGATGGTTATTAAAAGCTCCTGAATTGTAAATTAGTGACCAGAGGTGTCACGTTTGTTCCTTATTGATAAAAAACCATGGGAAAGATTACCCTGTTGGAAATTGATTTCTTCAACTCAAGCTGAAAAAACGGAAAAAACTTTTATTGTTTCAAAAAAAAATGTCAAATATTAAATCAATTTTAAAGAGTTTATAACTAGAAGCTAATTTAAATAATAGAATCAATTTCAAGCTTTTTAAAAAACGTCATTTTTGAATATTTGAAACCTATAAAACAGTGTTTGGAAAGAAGGAATTAAAGTAACTATAGTCCTTTAAGTAAAGGTGTAAAGTAAAACCTTATTTTATAATTATAAAAAGAAAACTGTCTTCTCGTGACGTAAGTATTTTCGATGGTAGCAGTTTCAAATTGAGACAATTTTCATTGCTACTGTAAAGCTGGTCTTCTGTAAGATTGTAATTTTTTACGCTTTTCTGCAATATTTAATTTCCTTTATCAAGTTTTCATCACCCTCGAAACAACAAAGCTTATTCTTGAGGAATCGGACCTGAAAAAAGGTATATTTTTTTGGCTCTGATGTGTTAACTATATATAAAGTGCCACACCAGTTTTTTCATACTCAAATTTTTTTAAGGATTTTTTTTCTCAAGACAAATTAGACCACTTGTTAGCAGAATGCTCTTCTAGTTAACTTCTTTTGCTCTCCGCCAATCACCTACCGTGACTTAAACTACTTAGTATTTAGCTGCAAGATTCTTAAGAGTTATCCTGTTTTTTTTAATGCTTCCAATTTCACTTTCAACAAATTTTCTTTTACTTTTTTTAGAACTTAGTTTTTCTTCTTAGAACATAAAAATGCAGGATTAGAAACAAATTAAAACATTTTAAATTTTTTTAAGCATGACTAAAAATTTCAATCCCAAGCACAAATGATAGTTAAAGACTACACTTATTTATTTTAAGATTGTAGGAACTTATACATGTTAAAAATATCTGAGCAGATGAATAGTGAATGGGGAGGAGAATTTTTAACCCTAATAAAAATTAGAAGAAGGGATTTCTGCAGATAGCTTTGGGAGTGAGCAATTGAAATATGACTCAATGAACAACATTGGAAACCAGTCATAGTAATTGTTACACTTGTTGTGTCTGTGTTTGCCTTTATTTGGAAGGAAGTTGGGATTCATGGGAAACTAAAATAATTTAGTTCAGTATGAAAAAAGTCTCTTTTTAAAAAAAAGGGATAAGTTATTCTTTTAATTTTGTTTTCTTATATATATATATATATATAAATAACCTTTTCACATATATATATAACCGTCATTGAACAGCTGGCCCAATTATTGTAAGTTTACGACTACTAATGTTCAACTCCATAGACTTATCATTTTGAACCCAATCCAGAAAACAAGGAAACTCCTGGATCAAGTGTTGGGAGATATTTGTCTTCTTGGAGGACTTTTTGATGGAACTAACCCTCATTTACATCACAAGGAGAGGAAAACCACGGTTAGCCTGATGGTAAAGGATCCATGATCCATCTACCACTGAGGATATTTTACATCAGCACTGTGATCGGTGCAAGTTGGATGCACAATTCATATAGACTGATTCGAATTCATCCATCATTCTTACTGTTTGTAAACAATTGCATTGGCCATCTTTAGTTTCTTCCATTTTGTTCAGTTTCTTCTGTTCCCCAACCCCCCACCAAGTTTCTTTTAGCGCCTTTCTAGGTTTCTTCCGGTTAAAATGCCAATCTTATTTCTGACTTAGAAAGGCTCAGACTTTTTCTCTTTGGTACTTAAATGCTACTGCTTTCTTTATTTTTAAAAATGCTTGAATGTTGACTCTTTTTATTTCTTTCATTAACAGACTGTCGTTGAGCGTACTGGAAAGCTTGACGTTGGTGAGTTTGAGCTGCAGTTTTTTGACTCTCGCTACATGCTGAAGCCTGAGACAGAAGAAAAAAAATGGAAGGGATGGTTAAAACCATCATGTATTCCCATCACCATCATACTGGTCCTCATCATACTCGTCGTGCTTTTACCCCTTATAGGACAGGACGAAGTAAAATCAGTTGAAGTCATGGCCCTTGGAGATTATGATGCTCAATATAAAAATTGTTCGAGTCCATGTGCGTAAGTTCCAGTTTCTCATTCATTAAGAGGCATTATCAAGACTAAAATTAATCATTTATTTCATTCTTTAACTTGTTACCTTATTTTAGTGCACACATCTCATAGCTGCCAACTCTACTGGATTTTCCCATTTTCTCCTGGTCTACTTGTATATTTTAGAAAATTCCCTATAATTGAGTAAATTTTTGAGGAAAAAAAATTCCTATTTGAATACAATTATAATGCAATTTATTGCTTGCTAGAATATTTAAATAAGTATTATTAGTGCATAATGGAGTGAGCCTTACTTGTAGTAATCAGTTTAAAACTTTTTTCTTCTAAAAATTTCAATTTATTTTTATGCAAAATTCTTTTTTTAAATTATAAATTTTTTTAATTATCAATGATGATTTACTTGTTTAGTGCTATTTAAAATTAAAAGTTAAAGTTAATATTAAAAGAAAAATTTATATTCATTTAATGCCATTCATAAATTGGAAAATATTGCAGGTCATTTATAGTAATTAGTGTATTAAAATGTTTGTATTTTGATGACAATAAAAATCCCTACAATTCCCTATATAAAAAATATTATGTAACAACTATGAAATTTGGTAAAATTAGCTGAAATTTTTTCCTAATGTGTTGGAAGCTATATGCAATTAGGTACTTTTGAAGTTAAATATGATTTCATTCATACTGTTTGTTACGTGATCAGCTCCTTTGTTTTTTTATTATTATTTAAAACTGGGCATTGTAGCGAAAGAAAAAAATGTGTTTTTAATTTCAACCTTTAATTGATGTAAGCAGGGTTGGCAAGATTTTGCCGCAGGTGGGAAAAACCATGGTAAATACCGGTAAAAACCGTCCTGGCAAAAACAGGTTTTTGCCAAGCAAATTGGCAAAAAGTGGCAAAAACCTATATTTTCCAAGATGAGAGGACAAAAACACATTTTTGATACAAAATTATTCCTAAAATTGAAATATATTTAATGAATATAAATAGTTACAAAAAAATTAGCAAAATTATTATTCCATAATTAAATGATAATGTAATAATATATCATTTTAGTAGTTTAAAACATTATTGATTGGAAAATTTGTGATTATTCTCTTTTTTCCAGTGAAATGAACTTATTTTAAATTAATATAACTATAATTTAAAGCATAAAATATCTTATCAACATGTGTAGTTAATTATTGTACAAATAATAATTTTTTATAATAAATAATATTATACAAATAATAATATTTATTTGTAAAAAAACATATTTTAGGATTCTAAAATGAAAGGAGATCAAAAACTTTCAATCTTTTAAAAATTATTACCCTTATATTAATTATTAATATGTTAAAAATAATTTTTTCATGTAATGTATCAAAATTATTATTCCTTATGATTGATTTAAATTTGTTTCAATTATTTTGTAATAATATTTAATCAGCAATTTAGATAATTTGGTTTTTGCCGGTTTTTACCAGTTTTTGCCGGTTTTTACCAGGTTTTTGCCACTGTCCTGGCAAAAACCCCTTTTTGCCGGCAAAAACTCCAACCCTGGTTGTAAGCATCATATAATTATTGTGGTGAGATCGACAGTACTAGGAGATTTGATATACACACATTTTTCAAACTGATTTATAAATTTAATCGTTCCTTTAAGTGAAGGTTTTTCAAGATTCATTCATGTAATTAATGACCTGGCTAGCCCCCCATCATCTCTCAAATCATTACCTGCCAAACATAGAATTAATGCAATGCTTTTATCTTATATGTAGGAGCAAGTATAATATTACCTTTAAATAACTGATAAGTCTTACAACGAATTTAAACCTCTCTCACCATCTGTGCATTGTCAACCATCCATTCATGACATAAATGAGAATTCTGACCAATGGCATGATGATGGCGATGAAGTCAGCCATACAGTCTTTACTGGTTTACTTACCTAACAAGTCTTAACTTATCAATCTGAAGCAGGGTGGGCTTCAAGCCACCACTGACAGAAGTCTTAACTACTCATGTTTTGCAGCTTGATTCAGGGGTGATGTTATTCCGGGTGTACCCTGGAATTCTGATTGATTCGTGTACTTCCATGAGTCAAAACATGTAATCCAACGAATCAAAAATTTAAAGTAAGAATAAGTTCTAAAATTTAAATTTTGAAACCTTCTCTAAATCACATTAACAAAACGTTTTCATGCACATGACCCTGGAATTCTGATTGATTCGTGTACTTCCATGAGTCAAAACATGTAATCCAACGAATCAAAAATTTAAAGTAAGAATGAGTTCTACAATCTAAAATTTAAATTTTGAAACCTTCTCTAAATCACATTAACAAAACGTTTTCATGCACATGACTCTGTCACAATTTTCTTTCTTTTGTTTGTTGAATTTTTATTGATTTAATATTTGATGCTGGAATCCACTGATATTGCGATTTATATTCGCGTGATTTTAATATCTAACAATGATTTTTGCATTTGCCAGATTTAACAGTTAGTTATTGCGAATTGTATTCACGCGGTTTAAAAATCATACATCGGGATTCCTATTTACGTGATTTGAAAATCCAATATCGCTGTTAGTATTCACACGAGTTTAAAATCCTATGTCTCTATTGGTATACACAGGATCTAATAATCATGTATCGCAATTCGCATTTATGCGGTTCAAAAATCCAATCTTGTGATTTGCATTCTAAAATCAAAGAGTGCGATTCATATTCACACGATTTTTAAACCCAATATCGCGAGTGTTGTAAGAGCTAAGTTTTTTCTTAAATTAGTACTATGAAAGTGTGTTTTATTGGCAGGTAATTTAATTATAAACCTTAGTTCAAAAATTTATATTAAATATGTAGTATATAAATTGATATCTTGTTATCGAGTTTTTGTACAGAAAATTTTCAAGGTATCATTTTCAGTAATATATGTAATTAATTTCTTCTAAATATTTTCCTATTATTTGAAATCAATCTTTAATTCTTTTGTGTGTGAATCTTTAATTCAACAAAGTTTTGTTGTGATTACATTTGAAAAATGTTCCATATTTTCAATTTAGCTCTCATTTTTGATCATCATTCATAATGATAAGGGCCAGTCAAGCGAAACTGAGAGTGAATTATTATTTTATTATTGTTATTAATTATTATTGGTTAATTGAGAAGTTAGCAACTAACCACTCTTTTTAGGATGGAATCCCATACATTTTCTGACATTAAATATCACTTTATGTTATCTCATTACAGAAATTTCTAAGCAAAAAAATATTTTCATTTACCGAAACTATTCGCATTTTAACCTCTGCAAAATTTCAACCCCATAAGGACTTTTACCTGTATTAGAGCCTTTAGGTAAATTCTGGTTTAATAAAATTTAAAATAATATTTATTATACTTTTGTTAAAGCCATTAGGTAGATTCTGGTTTTATACAATTCAACATGATATTTATTTAGATTTTATTTTCCTAGACTTTCCTGTTTGAATTGAGTTTACTATGTCTTTGAAAAAAGGCTTTTTCTTTTATAACAGCATCACCTTACTGGAAAGCATACCTGAAAACCTGACTTTCGCTGCCGGTGAAACGATTCATGTTTCTGTTTTTGAAAGCTGGTCCCAACTCATCTCCTTGGCAGAAAGATCCATTGATATCGCTACATTCTATTCAACACTAAAAGGACAAGATATTCAACCGGATGATCCGGATCCTTCTTCTTGGCAAGTATGTATTTCATTTTAGTTTCAAATAAAAAGAATTTTTTTTCCATTTATTTATATATAATTATATTTCTGTTTGCATTTTTTCTATTTTCTTATATTTTAACAACTTGTTGCATTTCATATTTAATTTCTTTTACATATATATATANGAAGGTTAGGGCTCCGCAATCTCATGACAAACATAGACCTGTCAACTTCTCTGGCTTTTAGTCAGAGATTTTTCTTAAATATTTATAGGGGTAACAGAATTTCTGTTTCAACATTTGGATTAAAAAGATTTTGACCAACACTTTATGTGAATAGTTACAAGGTATATTGATATATAACATAATAAATAAATACAAAAAACACAAAGAAAATTAAGAAAAACAATAAGTTTTATTTATTGCGCTTAAGTTGCAAGTAAATAGAACTCATAAAATAAGTTCAAAATGTAGAGAAAATAAGAGAAAAATTACAGAGCAGGGAAAGATGGGGAAAAAATATAAGAAAAATAATGATAAAAATAACAAGAAGCTGGAAAAAAATTCAGAAAAAATGACAAAATTTTTAAAAAAATCCAGAAAATAAAAGATATAATCTCTTTATCAGCACACACAATTATATCCTCAAAACAGGGTGCTTTCTAATATTGTATCAATATAGCCAAAGCAAAATATATTAATACAATAGTGTGAGGAGCACTCAAAAAATTTTACAAAAAAATTACAGCAAACAAAATAGAACACAATAAGTAAAAATATCACGTAAAAACAGAAAAGAAAATATAAAGAAAAAACAGAATAAAACATGAAATGAAATAAAAAAAGAGAGTAGCGAATTCAAATAAACTTACATGAACAGGAAATTTTTCAAAAATGATTTAAAATATTTTCATAACAAGATTGCCAGGTTGCAAAAAATGAAAACAAAAGCGCAAATTGAGCTAAAAGCGTAATTAGAGGATTTTTGTATTAAAGTGCGTTCTTGCTGCATTACTGAAGTGTGTTTGATTTTGTTAGTTACCAAGGATGGGCCCGAAATGGATGTGCGCTATATATATATATACAGTGAAACCTGTGTATAACGATACTGTCTATAACGATAAACCTGTCTATAGCGATATTTCCTTGAGGTCCCGGTGAAATTCCTATTTACTCAATGTATTTTTAACCTGTTTATAGCGATAACCACTTTTCAGTTAAACATGTCTGCAACGATAATTTTTCCTCTTTTGATAGTTGATAGTTCTATTCCGATTTTTCTACCGTTGGAAAACGACTCCCCATCGAGCCTAAATGTGAGATAACAAAATGTTTTTTTTTTTCATTTTTTTTCCATCTCCTTTGTATGTAATATTCTTTCGTTGTTTCTGAGAAAAAAAAGCCACTTTTAGGGGAAATTAGAGCAGTAGAAATTGGTGAAGGGGTATTGTAGGAGGGAGAGAGCTTCGTCAGAAAAACGTGTGACAAACTGACGAGACATCGATGCGACACGACAAGAGGGGAATTCCTATTCAATAGCGATTGCGATTTTAGCAGAAGTTATCCCGGGTGATCAAAGTGATGAGGAAGAAGCAGCTGAGTGTTCTCAAAACAGGACTCAAATTTCACCCGAGAATGCCATATTGCTAATTAACACTTCGCAAGATTTTGTTGCAACATTACCAAATGTAACTGATGTTCATTTGAATTCATTAGATGGACTGAAATCTATGTGCATGGAAATGGCAATTGCTTCCAAAAATAAACAAACAAAACTAACCGATTATTTTTCTAAATAATTTCTGTTTTGATTCATAAAATTGTAAGTAAATTTTTCTTGTGTGCTGTTTCATAATTCTAAGTAAAATTTTCATTTGGAGCCTATAAAAGAAGTTTAATTTATCATTAGTTTTAAACGTATACTTTTAAATTTCACACCTGTCTATAACGATAACCTGCCTATAACAATATTTTATTTAGGTCCCTACAGTATCGTTATAGACAGGTTTTACTGTATATACTTTAAATTCATAAATATGTGTATCTCAAAGAGTATCAAGTAAAGAAGTTTTTTATAAAAAGAATTATAAATTATGAAAAAAATTTGTAAAAAAAAATCTATTTATAGTTTAATAAGTAGACAATAGTGAAATAGAAATCATCACATACTAAACTATTGAAAACAATTAATCAAAGACACATTTTTAGCAGTGAAAAGGGCAGACCATGCCTTGTAACAAAAAAATCGGAATAGAAAAATAAAAAAGTAAAAATAAATGAATGCTTTCAATATCCTGAGGTGGAGCATTTGAGAAATTTGGGTTTTCTTAGAGGGCAGTTCAACCTTATGAATAACCATCAATTCTTCATAACCTGTACATCTATAACTCAAACCTTTAATCGAGTACTTTGAATCATAACCTACACTTTTATCCGAAACTAACTTGATTTTAAGCTATCAATGCAAAAGATTCAGTACACTGTGGGTACTTCTTGAGAGATTAAAATTATTTAATTGTTTTCAAGTTTATTTAAGATAAATTATTTTTAGTTCGGACCGGTGAATACCGATTATTTCTGCCATTGGAAAAAGTGTAGCTGGCCTGAATTTCTTAATATTCCTGGGTTGACACTCCACAGGGAGAACCTGGAAAATACAGGGAATTTAAATCAACAACTTAAAATAACATGGAAATTGCCAGGAATTTTGAGTTTTTTTTTCTATTTATTTATTTATTTTTTTGCAAACTGGGAAAATACAGGGAATTTTGTTTCTTATTTTTGTTTTTTAAAAAAATGGTGACCACTCAAAGCATAATCTATAGGATATTTAATCATGATATTTCAATTATACTAAACTTCTATTTAATTTAATATAGCATTGTTTAAGTATTTTCAGCCGTTCCTTTCTTTCCCTCTAAGTTTTTGCAGCAATTAAATTTAGTATAGTTAGCCCAATATAGCTCACACAAGAACACAGTAATTATTGTGTTTCCTCTTAATGTATTGTGTATAAAGGGAATTTTTTTCCAGATTTGCTTGGCAACCGTGAAATGCAGTGAAGGAATGCAGTTCAATTATTTACTTTTTTTTCTGTAGTTTTTTGTTTACACATTGTAGCCTGCCTTTTTCTCTGCATGGCCAGTGAAAGCAGCTTTGTTTGTTATAAATCTTTAATTAATTTGTTTTCATTAGTTAAATGCATGTTGAATTTCTTTGTCTAAAGTTTTTGTTATATTACATTTACCATTTCTACTTGAAATTTAAAGGCAAAAGATTGCTTTAATCATTAAAATATTATCTGTCTTAGTTAAAATATTATGCATAATAATTTTTTTTCTTCATTTGTTTTAAAGGGAGACAAAATATTTAGCGATCTGATGAAAGCTGGAACTGAAAGGGGAATCAGAATCAGGATAATTCAAAGTGAACCTACAGGTTCAATGCCGGATTATGACACAAAAGAACTGGAAGTAAAAGGTTTGTATAAGTTGAAAATTCCCTCTATTGAAATTTCAAATATTTTGACTGTAACTTACGGTCTTAAATTTTTTTATTAGTTTTGAAAAAAATGTCCAGTTTAAATGTTGCATAATTAAATATTACTTTTTTTGTTATACTTAATAACATACTGCATTTTAGTTTATTAATCCACTTAGATTTTACCAAAATAAAATTTATTTACATTAAATGTGTAAGCATCAAAAAACATTACACCCTAAATAACTTGTGTGTAATGATCAAATTTTTACTTTTAAAAAAATGCAGTTTTCATAGGCCAAACCAGAGTATTTAGTTCAGAGGATAATTTAAGCTAGAAATCAACCACAAAAGCATTCTTTCTCTGAAGAAACATATCCTTAAATGGGTAAAAATGAATTTTTTGACACAAAATAATGGGGTTTTAATAATTTAATCAGGCATACAATTGAATTTTTATTTTATTTTCACTGTTTGCTTTATATCTAAAACTTATTTAGCAGCTATTTAAATATCTAAAGATAATTTCTTTCGTTTATCATTTTAGAATAATTTTAATAGGATAGTTTTTTTTTTAAAAATTCAATCTTTAGTTTATCATGTATAGTAAGTTTCATAAATTTCTGAGATATAAAATGAAAGAAGGTTAATTTTTATCTCTTATAAATTATTTGAGTAATATTGCTCAAATATCGCAGAGAAAATATGCTTTTGTTTCTTAAATTATCATCTGCATTAATTTGTTAACATTTCTTATGCATGTGTTTATGTATCAACCCACATTGTAAGCAGGATTGGCTTTTTGCCAGCAGAAACCGGTTTTTGCCATGCCAGTGGCAGAAACTGAAAAAAACTTCTTTATTAGTTCTAGTAATTGCTTAATGATATTTTGTTTAAGTAAACTGAAAAATTTAACTCCATGTAACAGTAACAAACTTTTTAATCCATTGTTTGTAAATATATATTATTTTGTTTTTATTAAATATAAAGAGTGCAGTATATCAAATATTTATATAAAATGAAGAATAAAGTAATGTAATAATAAATATAAATACAGTGCACTCCCGATTATCCGGGTTAATCACAGGGACAGGTCGCACGGACAATAGAAAAACACGGATAATCCGAAAACTCCTTTTATTAAAGAAAAATTCAATATCAGTACAAAAAATATAAAAATTACTGACATTTGCATGCATAACATCAAACTAGAAATTTTCCTTTTTAAAAAATGTGTAATGCGTCTTCGCCATATATCGATACACATATTTTACGAACCGCAGTAATGTCACCGTAATCAAATCCTCCCATATAATCTAATAAAGTTTCCACAGAGCAGCAGAATGAGAAATTGTATTTCATTCATTTACTACATCTTCTGCATCAGTTACTATCATCACTATTTGATTTAACAACATAACGATGTCTTCATCAGTCAAATACTGGAAGCCAGGCTCACATGCATCACTTTGAAACCAATCTTCTAAATTTTCTTCATCAAGAATTTCGAAACCTTAGATTTCTTTTGCTTGTTCGAGAATACTGTTATCATATTTTTCTTGAACATCTGAAGAGGATTGTTCATCAAGCGGTATGATCTTTCTCCAAGATCGTGATAACGTAGACGATTTTACCTTTGACCATGCTGCTGATATTCCATATACTGCAATCCAATAACGAATATTGCTTCCAAAAATTTGGTAGTGTTATAACTTCATGAATCAAATATTTTTAATCTTGAAAATGCTTCTATTTATATTTTTTGTGTGACTCCGGAATGAGCACGGATAATCGAGAGTGTACTGTACTAGATTTTAGTTTATTATATTAAATTCTGAAATTCAGTAATTATTATCATTTAACTCTTAACATAACTGAATAGAGCTATTTTCAAATAGTTTTTTTTTCTTTTCCAAGCCATAATTTGCATGGCAACAATCCAATTATTATAACAGTAACAGTTTGAATCTTTTGTGGATGGCAGTGCCAGCTTGTTCTGCTGGATTTAGAGAATCTTCACAAATTTCTCATTAGTGCATAGCAAATTGAGAAATTGTTTAGGTTTAGAAACTGCATCAGAACTTGTCTGTTGTTATATATTACTGCAGAGTGCAAACAATGTAATATTTGATTTTGAATGGTGATAATTTTGTAAATAAATTGTACTTTGTTTAACATTTAATTGTTTTTTCTATGAATTATTCATTATATGTCAATCTCAGTACTTACTTTTATGTCATTTTCTGAATTTCTGCCACAAATGTGGCAGAAAAGGGTTTTTGCCATGCCGGTTTTAACCGGTTTCTACCAGTGGTTTTAACTACCTCGGCAGAAACTTGCCAACCTTGATTGTAAGCCAAAGGTGCATAGACAAAACTTTTCGTATTGAAAATCTTGGATAATATTTTGCATTGCTGGTCTTACGTCAGTGTTTATTTTTAAAGTTAAAGGTATGAGAATTTATTTTTTAGTGACAATATTTGTTTAATAATATGTAAAAAATATCTCTAAATGCCAAAATGTATGCATATTTTTAGAAGATTGAGTTTACATATCTATACATATACTTTTCACAAGTTTACAATTTCTAATGGGATTTTTTTCTATTTTAATTTCTCTAGTGAATGAAATATATCTATGTTATTATTTTGATGTTTATTGACTACCTTTCACATGATTTCAGTTATTAGTGTTAATTAAAGTGTTAGTTTAGTTAATGTGTCTCAAGTTATTAGTGTGTAATTAAGTCCTAAATACATTGTTTGTTTGTTTTTAAATTTTTTTCTTTTTTTGTGTCTACTCTTAATTGTATTTCAAATATAATGCAATCCAATGTCCACCTGGGGAATAACATTTTGTCAATACAGGCATTTGTTGGCCACTCTTTCAGAGGCACCCTATTAGGTGGGCCAACAACAGTGCTCCCACAGATAGAACAGAGAATGAAAGAACATCCATGCCTTGCCCGGGATTCAAACCTGGAACCTTTCTGATGCACGGACAGTTCCACGACCCCTACACGATCCGGTCGGCTGATTCGTAACTTATTGTATACAAATCTACACGTAGGTTAGGTTCGTGATATCTAAAAAAAATCATTCCGCAATATAGGGTCGCAGCTACTCACAAAACCATCGATTGCAAGATTCAAGACATTTCTCGAATGATAATTTATTTCATTAAGTTGAGTTTATGCAACATTTTTGTTTAAAAGCAGGCGTTTGAAGTTGCAACTGCTATTACGAGCCTCCCAACAATGGCACATCAAAGAAAGGATGTTTAGAATGTGCCTCGTATATTGGCAATAACTCCACTTCCACCACTGGATTCCTGCGAACAAATCCATGTTTGGTTCCTCAGAGGTTTAATACCCTAGGGTTTTTTTAATATAATCCTGTAAAAAAATTCAGTCAGATCTGGTGAACAAGATTTTCACTTGGACATGATTTTACATGCTTCTTACCAGTTATCATATTCCTATTCAGTATTTTTGAACAATAAATTTGAATCACCTTGTATATTTTATTCCATTGTAATTTTTTTTTTAAAATATAATAAGTTCTAAAAGAAATTTCCATTGTGACATAGGTGCAGCTAAAGTAAGGAGTTTAGACTTCAAAAAAATGCTTGGTGGTGGAGTACTGCATACAAAGATGTTTCTTATTGATAAAAAACACTTTTACATTGGAAGTGCCAATATGGACTGGAGATCTTTGACGCAGGTAGATTTCCCTTTATTATTTACACTATCAGAGATATAGATTCTCCTTTATTACTAAATGTCATACACAGACTTACATAATGTAGATGAAAGCTCAAAATGTTTTCACAAGAAGCTATTAAGTTTTTTTTTAGATCATAACTCATTAAGAAAATCAATTAAAATTCCTTTTATATAAATATAAAATAGAACAAAGTAAGCCAGTAAGCTCTTTTGTATTCCTAAAAGAAAAGTCAAATGAAAATTTCATAATGATGTCATACAAATAATGAATGATCATTGAGCAAATTTTGTCAAAACAAAGTATTTAATGAAAGGGTTTGATGAATTGTTTGCAGAGAGTTCTTCAACTGAGTTTTTGTGCTTGAAGAATATTTTATTTTATTTTAGAATTCAAGTTTTAGAACTAAAAAAGCTCAAAGTCGTAAATTTAATCTCAAAATAATAAATAAAAGTATATAAAGTCATTTTGCTAACTTATATTCTGTCTAAGGTATTGATTTAATAGCTTCCCATGGTAATTTTTATATTTATTTTTCATTTTATAGTCTTAAATAATTAAATGTTTAAATTGTTATTATTATCCAAAATAAAATAAGATTGAAATACATAATTTCTCTTCATTTCATACATACTTAATTTTCATATTAATATGAAGACCCTCTTTTGCTAAAATAGGAACGATGGAGTGGTTTATGGTAATCATAAAATTACTTTGGTTTATTCTTGTTAAAATCCATATAAATATCCTTTCGCTTAAATAAAGTTTGTTTTCTTTTTGTACATTTGCTTTTTATTAAAGTAGTACAACAGCAAAGGAAACATAATTTTGTCTAATAGTTTGGAGTGCTTGAAGTCATGAGTAAAAATTTGTTTTCATAGAAACCAGTATAAAAAAAAAAAAGTAAAACATTTTGGTAATGCTCCTAGAACAGATCAGTGTTCTGTACCTAACTGTTAAGTTTCTAGAGCAAGTCTATCTGTGTGTATGTTTCTTTGTTTAAAAAGAAAGAGAACTACTATGAACTCTATTTACATGTTGTGCAGTTTTATCACACATGACTATGCGTTGAACTAAACAAAACTTGTTTTTGTCCAAAAGTAATTTTTACATTATGTTTTTGTTTAAAAAAGTTGTTAAAGTCTGATGAAATAAAATTTCTAAATTCTTGGACTGCAGTTAGAATATTTATTGTTATAACACCTTTTTAAAGGATTTTATTTTGAAAACAGTTGTAGCCCATTTGATTTTACAATGTCTGTTTAACTGCTACCACTTTTCAATTTTGCTTCTTCTCGTAATGCAGAAACTAGTGAATGGAAGAATATTTCATTTTGAAAATAATTTGATAAATGTTATGATTTGGAAATGTTATTAATGTTTAGTTATTTTGTATCAAAAAGGAGTGTTTTGCATCTTCTAATTTAGTTTTATGAAAACTTTTGCTAGTAGTATTTTGCAGCCATGTACTCGTCATGTCTGATGATGTGTAACACATCATTTTTTTTAAAAATTTTAAATAAGTCTTGGAAGCATTACATTTTTCAAAATAAATTTCTTTGATAGTTTTTCACTGAATTGAAATAAAGGAAAATTAATCCCAAAAGAATCATAATTTCATTTTATAGTCATCAACAAAATAAGATCTTGTTGGGTTTTTTTAAAAATAAAAAATTTGATTAATGAGTTATTGAATTTAAAATATTTACAGAGGATTTTTTTTCCAATGGTATTTTGTTCTTATTTTTATTACTTGCTGACTGTCTGTGCTTTTGTAGGTTAAGGAGCTTGGTTTGGCTATTTACAACTGTTCATGCCTAGCACAAGATCTGTTCAAGATATTTGAAGTGTACTGGAAACTTGGAGTTCCCAATCCATACATACCTCCTGAATGGCCAGCTGACCTGCAGACGTCCATCAACAAAGATAACCCTGTTTCAGTTATAATGAACAACTCACAAGTTCTCACCTACATATCTGTAAGCATCATTTTTTTCTTCTTTGCTATAACTAGAATCGTGATATTTTAAGTTTACAGTAAAAGAGATACAGAAAGAACTAATTATGTAAACACGGAGATACATGTTCAAAGTACAAATAAGGAAATAATTTATAAGAGAAAGTTGGAAAAATTGTTTCTCATTTTTTTATTTAGTATTAAAAATGTTTTTTATTCAAATGAACAAATTATTGTACAATGGAATATCTGCAAGTGACGTAGTGCGAGTATATCGTTCCTGATGGGTTATTAAAACATGGCATTTGTTTACATTACCAACTGTTCTTTCCATTCTATTTCGAATAAGCGAAGCCTGTCAAGCTCGCATTTTCTTAAATAACACATTCTAGATTCTTTCACAAAGATTTCAGTTCTGCCTCTATATATTTACTGGCACCATGAAGAACATACGCAAACTTATTATGCATCAAAGTTTCCAGGTACTAATTGCTGTTAACATGAAAAAAATCATTTTTAAAATTTTTGAGCAAATGTCTAAAAATTTTTAGTATTTATAAAATTCGTTAATATTCTGCGGAAATTAGTGACAAACTCACAACCCTAATATAATATAATAACTTAATATAATATAATATAATAACTAACCCTAATATAATATAATAACTAACAACCCTAATATAATTCTGAATAAGGTTGTATTAAACACCAGATGACTATTGTGCTGAATAGTTAGTCTCTGAATAAGAGTCTTTTGTAAAAATAATCTAGCTGATACCTTTAAAGAACAATAAAATTATAAATGTTAAGTATTTTTGAGCCTTGAAAAAAAGCAAAACCTACTTTATATGCAAAATCTTGATTGGTAATTTATTTGAGATTCAATAAAAGAATTATCAGTATTTTAACACTATAAGAGAAATTTTATGTTACGAGATAATTGCAAAACTGCATTGTTTGTTGTCCTGTGTTCAGTAAATTCATTAATAAATGAAACTTCTTCAAACACTCCTATATCTTTACACATCCCTACATCTTTGGAGCTGAAAATCTTGGCAGTTAAAAAAAAAGATATTTTTTTTAAGTAAAATCTGTGGCTCTTTAATTGTATAAGAAAAATATTTTAAGGATAAATTTGTGGGGGGAATTATGAGAATGTCGACCTTTGTCTATGTAAAGGTATCCAGGCATAGAATCGAGTTAACATGTCTTATATACTACTGAATTGGAATTATATTTTTGTAGTGGTAGATACATTACAGTTCTTCTCCTCCAGAATTATAGCTGTGATAGTATTCAATGAACGAATACCACTAGTTGATTGATTGCTGTTTTGTGAGAAGCCGGGAGAGCTGTATTAAGTTCACATTTACAAAGAAAAGTACGGGGATGGTACCTTTTCATAGAGGAAGGTTGACATTGTCGACAGCTACTGTCCCCACATTGGTGACCCAGTCGTGATGTGAACATGCCTACCTTGGCAGAAATGCCCTTTACGATTTTAACACGTCTACTTTGAAGGATGGTCCACTTTGAACAGTTGACTTGCTTCTTGTGACTGTGTCACTAACCATCTCCTCGTGCTGTTAGCTACTCAGTTTTGACCACGTACAACGTATTCACTCTACTGCTTATGGCAACACAGGAGTGACCTTGACCGTCAACTTAATACAGCTCTCACGATCGGTACTCGAAAGTACGGTGATCTTAATACAACTCGTAGACGAAGGTTGACTTTGTCGATTACTCACTCCCCACAAAAATATTTTTCTAAATAATTATATCGATAAATCATTATGTTTTTCCAGAGTTCTCCACCCCCCATCTGCCCAAAAGGAAGAACAACAGATTTGGATAGTATTTTGGATACCATCAACAGAGCCCACTCTTTTGTTTACATTGCAGTCATGGATTATTTTCCTACTTCTCTCTACATGCAGAAAGATCAGTACGTTTCTTTATCCCTCCCTCAAACTGATGTAGCAAAGTAAATGTTTTTGCACAAGTAAAAAAACTCATTTCTAAAAATATTGTCCTTTGAAAAGTTTTTTTAAATTATTAATGTCTGTTTATTAATTTTAATAATGATAACTTCTATCAATATTTGTTTTTAAGATATAAAAAAATTATAAATAGCCTTAAGGTAAATCACTTCAAAAGGTGAAATAACCTAATCCTTTTGAAGAAGCATACAATTAAAATTCTCATTTTGTTCAGATTTTTTTAAAATTTTAATTGTATAGTTTTATGATAATAAAATTTTGATACTTTATTATTAAAAATTTCTTTCACTTATTACATCAAATAATAAAATAGTGTATTCTATTCAATGTAACATATTCTTTCAAAGTAGCACATTTAATGACTTTTCTCATCAAAAAAATCTGTTTTTGAATGAATTTTATTGTAATTTCATTTTCATGTCTTATACCCTATTAAGCATTTTGATTTGCTTTTTTTTTTAATTTTACTGTCGCCTCAGATCAATGGTCTAATGAGCTGCATAGAGTGTAAAATTTTTTTTCTTCCAGTAAATATTAGAATTATTTCTGAAAAATGTAAATGGCTATAGATGTGAAAGCAGTCTCTGATAGACAATGGCAATTTAATATACACAATCTTCAATGGCATCCGGACACGTGAACTCTGAGATGTATGTGGACAATGCTGGACTCCCAACTCTATTTCAATATTTCGGCCCATTTCTTTCCCATTCACGCTGCAACACAAAATGGATGTTGTTCCAAAACTGCCTTCTCCCATAGAACAGGACGAATTAGATTGCCAGTCGCTCACTTCAACTGTGATGGAATTCAAAAACTGGTGGAAAATCTTCCCTGTCATCGATGCAAAAGGAGGAACCATACATCATATGTCCCTCAGGACAATCTCATGTCTGGATACCTTGGGTCAGATAATCAGAGTTTCCACAGGGAAAACCTGGAAAATACAGAGAATTTAAAAATCATCTGAAATAACAGGGAATTTTGATTCTTTTCTTTACTAACTGTTAAAGTACAGGGAATTTTGTTTCTTATTTTTTTCTTCTAAAAAGTGGTGACCACTCAAAGCATAATCTATAGGATATTTAACCATGGTATTTCAGCTATACTAAACTATGTCATTTACTATAGCATTATTTAAGTATGTTTAGCTGTTTTTCCAGCAATTAAAACTAATAAATATAATTGGCCCCATATAGCTCACACAAGAGCACAGTAATTGTTGCTTCGTCTTAATATAGTGTGCATAATATGTGCAGGGAATTTTTTTTCCAGATTTGAGTGTCAACCCTTAATACACAGCCTTATTTATGTCATTAATTTGTAAAATTTTAAAATCTTTTTCTTTCCCTCTAGTTATTGGCCTGTCATTGACGATGCTATCCGCAGAGTGACAGTTGTCAAGAGACTTCAAGTCAGGATTTTGGCCAGTTACTGGAATCATACCAAACCTACTATGATGTCATTTTTAAGATCTCTCAATTCCTTAAACAGTGATTTGTTTGACATTGAGATAGTAAGCAGTTATTTATAAGTTACCCTCCAACATTTGTGGTTTTTTTCTAACTCCTCAATTAAAGCAGAATTTTTGAATTGTATTTATTTAAAAATTTTATAGATTACCTTTTGCTGTTGCTAGGAAAACTATTTTCTGAAACTATGGTCATTGGATATCAACATTCCTATATTGTGTATTTTGATTTTATTTCAGTAGCTTTTTATGAGGGAATGTTTATTGTAGGGTCTTAATTTTATATTTTTAATCAATTGAAACAGATACCAACTGAGCTAAAATGACCTAGGATTCTTAAAGCATTCTTGTTGAATAAAACATAAAACTACTTTTATGGGCCGTTCTTATACTGGCATATTTTTTGATTCCTCCCTTGTCAGAAAAAATAAGCTATTATCAAACTCACTCTCATGCTTTCAGAGAATAAAGGATTTTTTATCTCTTAAGGCTGTGAATCAGAATTACTGTGCGACACTTTTGTGTGCCGCTAAGTTTTAGAAATGATATAGTAAAAGTTATGCTTTTTTTATTGCGCATAAAGTTTAAATTAAAAAAAGGTATATATATATAATATTTTATATTCAAAATATTTGATGTATATATATATATATACTTTTTATCATTTTTCCACGCTTTAGCCGCTTGAACATCTTTGCCGTCAATAGTCCTTTCTCTGACAATCTTAAAATGTTAATATAAGTAGGAAATTGAGTGATTATTAAAAGTATTCATTAACAAAAGAAAGCAAAGTAGATATTAACTTACAAAAAGAAATAAAAGTTACCCATTAAAATTAGCTATGCAATTAATAATTACAGAACAATTTAACAAAGGAAAACTAAAAACAAAAAAACAAACTAACGATTAATAATAAGCAAAAAAAAAAAAGAAACAAGTTAATCACACAAAAATAACAATTAATGTAAAAAGGCTAACAATTAATAACTATAAAAAACAAGCTATTAATTAATAAGTAAAAAAAAACAGTTAATAAAAGAAGTATTAAGAGATGGGAGGGAGAGAAGTCGATAGATAAATATGTTTTTGTAGTACACATTATTTTATTTTACATTCAAAACTCATTGATAAAGAGTCTCATTGTCTTAAGTTAAGCATTGTTTATATCCCTGTTCTTCCTTCTCAGTAAAAATAAGCAAATCATACTTTCCTCACGTTGGGTACTTATATAATATTGAATTTGAACTCTTCCTTTTGGGTGTAAAAAAAGTTCTTAAATGCTAACATTTTACTGTAACTTATTTTAATGTTAGAAAACTGATCCATGTCTTTTTCAGAAAATCTTTGTTGTGCCAACTTATACTGAGGCTCAATCAAGAATACCCTTTGCAAGGGTGAATCACAATAAGTATATGGTTACAGACAATGCTGCTTATATTGGTGAGTCTTTTTTATTACATTTCATAAAAGGCTATTTTCAGTATCCAGGCAGAATTAAAAAAAGTTTTGCTATGATTAAACTTGTTTTAATTCGATGGTGTATACTTAAATGTGAATAACAAACATTCTGTGGTAAATGTCACCATTCTTAATCTCATTTTAGGTAGATGTTCAAAATTGCTTTTTTGAATCTCATTCTTTTTTACTCTGGTAAATGTCAATAATCAGTGTGCACTGGTTGCAGGGTTGTTAAATGCAAAACAGCATTTTCTGATCCACACTCAACCCCCCCTCCCAAAAAAAAAGTCCTGATGGGTTTTTACTTAATAAACCTTGCTTGGGCCAGGATAGCTTGGTTGGTAGTGCTCGTGTCCAAGAGGTTGTGGGACCCCTCGGGCCGAAGACGCTCCATGTAGTAAATGGTGACTGATGCACATTAAATTTCTCGAGTCGCAAAGTCCTCCATGTTTCCATAACAAATCAATACCTCTGGGGGTACTGGTCTAGGAGTTTCTTTGTCGTCTGGATTCGGTTCAAGATGACAAGGCTACGGAGTTGAACATTAGTAGTCGTAAACCCAAAATTGGGTCGACTGTTCAACGGCGGATATAACAGTTTAATTAATGGTCATTTATGGATGAGATATTTGACATGCTCTCCATGGGTGAATTTCAAAATATGAGCACAGTACATGAGTTTTGCCAATTCTTTTGGCTCATCAAATATCACTTTTTTAATCGAATTCATTATTGGGTTGACTTTTTTCAGGGCATTTTATTTTTAACTTCATTTGCTTATAAAAATGATACCCACTTCTCCTCAGGCATAGAATGAAAGTATTTGCTCTAATGCTAATGGTACTAAATCTTTTAGAAAGAATGTAAAAATATTATTACTGATACTTAATTAATTTTGGTAGTAACTTATAGAAAGAAAGAAATAAGCTCTATACTTAAGGCAAAATTAATAAAAAAAATGGTACTGATTAATTTAGGAGAAATGTAAAAAACTCACTCTATTTATTATTCTTGTCAATGATGCTTAATTAATTTTGATAATAGACACTAGTACAGGGATGGCGAACCAATGGCACGTGACACAATATTTTGGGCACGCCACCGATCACAATTGTTATTGCACTCTGAATTGTTATTACACAAATGTCACACACTATGAAGCATATGTAACAATTAAATTAAAGTTTACAAAAAACAAACAAAATAATAAACAATTATTAATAGAAAAATAAACAATTAATGCTAAAAGAACAATTAATAACCATAAAAAACAAGCTAACAATAAATAACTAGCAAGAAAATCAACAGTCCTGCTTAAACTAATATCTTACAACCTAATATAAGTTATTTGTGATTTAATCTGCAATAACAGAAGTCCCACTGATGCTACTTTAAGTTGAATTACGCGTATAACTGAGACATTGCAAAATGTATTTTCTTTTCAATATAAATAAAGAGTTTTGAGTTGATAGTATTTAGTATTATTATTTTCCCAATAATCATGAAGTCAAAGTTATTTGACGGCACGTCTGTGATTTCATTAAACAATTTTTTAGAAAAAATGGCACGTTGGTGTATAAAGGTTCGTCACCCCTGCACTAGTATTATGGTAATTAGTGCAATTATAGTAGGTACCAAATGTACAAAAATAGGTGTAATGTATTATATTAGTATATTTGATAGCCATAGAAACTGTGAAAAACATCTTTTTTATTGTATTGTCATCACTCATGCGAATCACGTGGGTCATCAAATTCATTCTATTTATTTTTAATTTATTTTTATGTAATTTATTTTTATGTAATAATATCAGGTGTTACAATGAAAACCTGATAATATTAAATTACTCTATTACAATTTCTCTAAAATGATACCCTAGTTAAATCATTTTTATTATAAGAAATTAGAGTAGTACAAAACTTCATTATGCTTTAATGTGTTTTTGCTGATGTAATGAATTTTCTTAGGTACATCCAACTGGTCGGAAGACTACTTTGTGAATACGGGTGGCGTCGGCTTCGTGATACGGAATCCGGTCACCAACGGCACAGACGGGTCCAACCCTCTCCGCGAGCAAGTCGAGGAAGTTTTCAAGAGAGACTGGCGCTCCAAATATGCTCACCCTCTCTCACAGTTCAAAGATATCACGTAATAAACTATACTTTCTGTATTTTTCTTCTTCTCTCTTTTTGCATTCCTCGGAAATCACTTTGTAGTGCCTTTCACTGAAAACAGATGTTCTCTATTTTAATATCTTTAATTACATTTCTGATCATTCTCTGTCCAAAGTGTGATTGACACCTTCAAATACTGAAGTGATATTTCTTTTAAGCAATGGAAGAGTGATTCTCACTTCTTATTCACTTACTGCATGGTTTTTACATTTTTGTTTGTGCATATCAATGTCTCTCTATATGTATATGTTTGGTTGCGATATTTTAATAGTATTTGAAAAAAGAATAACTCCTTGTCTCATTAAAAATAAAGGATAGAGCAAAAGAAAAAAACAAACATTATTATTTTAAACTCAAGCAAGTTATGAGAATAATTTTACAGTATGTTCCAAATTATGCCCAAAAGAAAGCTCTTGATTATTTTTTTTTTCTTTGATAATTTGACTTTAAATTTTAAAACTTTAAACGTTCGTTTTTGCCAGAAAGAATTATAAAAAAATTCTGTCTAGGTTTGTTTGGATAGCTTTAATATTCAACAACATTTTTCTTTGTGCACAATTCTTTATTATTCAAAGAAAACTTGCAATTTTGGTCCAATTGTTAAAGACTTCTGTTTCCATAGTTCTGCTTGGGTTGCACAACACCTGCAAAAAAAATGAAGTGTAAATAGTTTTGACGTCATTAGTAGTGAGTGGGAAAATACAATAACTGTGCAGGACACAGTTGGCAACAGAAAGACTCGACACTTCTTAAGAAATTAAAAATGATCTGTTTTTTTTTTTTTATCTCTATTCTGTACAATTTTTGAGAGTATACTTCTTTTTCTTTCAAACTGTACTTAATAGGCATAATAGCAAACCTTTCAGTTTTTATGCATTATAGACATACACTGTCTGGCGAAAAGTCTCTGGACACACAGTGGAGAGCGTCCTGAGGTACTTATTAATAGGATAAGAGGGCCAGTCCAGTTTTTGAACACCCAAAGCATGACTGTGCAAACCTTGATGTGTGAATACTGGAAAAGAAGTGGAATATTACCATAAGAATTTGGAGTGCAGCATTGTCCACCTACACATAGAGTTCCAACCACAGGAACTAAAAGACACAGACCAAACTGCGAGAAGCACCCCCTCCCCCCACATACACCATTATGCTTCCACCACCTTAACAACCCGGATGTCCGGATACTTTTGACCGGATAGTGTATATTTTTGCATCTGAATATCTTTCAATAGTATCATTAAATGCTCGCTATATTGTCATTCAAAAGAGGGTCTCTTGTTCGTTAAAAAGAGACCAATAGTTTATTTGTGAAGTAGTTTGTGTTGCAAACTAATTGTTAAGGCTGGTTTAGTGCCTCGCTATCTTTTCGTGATTCCCTACAATTTTTGCTTTGGCCTCTTACTATCCTCTTTTATATTTTGACATCGTGCGGAGCGTTTTTAAAAAAGTGCTTAAAGGTGCTTATTTTCGTTTTTTAAAAGCCCTTAAAGGTGCTTTTTTATGGGGTGTTTTTAGAAAAGTGCTTAATATTCCCTCTTTGAAAATGAGATTTTTTTTTTCTTTACCATGTCAATTTTCGCCACATATTTTGCAAAAGCATGCTTTTCACATTGTTCTATTCAACGTCTTCACAATTCATTTGACCTCAATCTATTTCGGCGTGCTGTCATAGTGTATGAAAGCACCAATTTTTTGACATAATTTGATGAAATGTCTGTATGTGTGTAGAGTTAGCTGGGTTCGGTGAGATAATTGCACACTCGTGTGCAACTCTGCAGCATTTTGCAAGATATTCTGAATTTTTAAGCTTCTTTTTCCGCCCTCTGAAATGGAACCGAAAAATCTCTCGATCATTTTTTAATGGCTAATATAATCAAGAAAAGGGTTATTTGTGAAAAACTAGTTATTTTATCATGTTCATGTTAAGTCTTTGAAAATTATTTAACATTTAGTTAACATATAGGGTGCTTAAAAATCTTTTTTGAGTGCTTAAATAGTACTTAAAAGGTGCTTATTTTTTTGTTGAAAGATTTGGCTACGCACTCTGTTTAAGTAGATAAAATTTTTATTTGTTTTAAGCATTTTAAAGATATAATAAAGATGCATTTCTACAAAATGTTTGTGATAAAATAAAGTTTTAAAGATAATTTTTTTATAAACATTCTCAGTGATGCCCGACTAAGTTGATCAATTTCTGCTTATATCTTTTCTAAAACAGTGATATATTATACAAGTTATTATTCGAAATAATATTTAAAATTAAGGATCCTTTAATAAAATAGTTTTGCTCAATATAATTTTCTCATTAGTACAAATTTACATACATTTAGCATTGATTTCTTTAAATTTTACATACTGTACATGTACAAATTATACAACTGTACATATTAAACATTTAGTTGCAAACATCAAGTTTCAAAAGTAAATATCAGGTTGTACTCAAAATTACATTTTTGCAATAATGGGAAGATAACTTTTTTGTTAAATTATTAATTGTTAAATTAAATCTGTAACAAAAGTTTCTTAATTTTTTTACCAGTTTTATAAATAAAAAGCTTGATATAAAAATAACTTGCCTAAAAGATGCACCTTATATATATTTACTAATTAAAAACTCTACCTAATATTCCAAAATACTTTACAAAAGTATCAAATAATATTTTTATAAATTTGTGCAAACTGTTAGAATCCTGAAATTTATATACTGATGTTAAAACAAAAAGAAAAAAAAGCATTTGTACATTTTAGTGCAATTTTAGTTCATTTATTAACATGTTAGATAAATCCCATTCTATTTGCACAATGTGTTGCACAACTTATTGTCTTTTCATCACTTTTTGTTGTTTCTCTTTTTCAAGCAAGTTTGTTTATATGGTAAGAAATATAACGTATGTTAATTATACCATTTATTTATTGGACCTTTATCTTAACACAATCATTTTATGTACTTGGCACAACTTCAATATTTTTAATTTATTTTTCACGTTTTAAATCTTAAAAGAGTTTTTAGTATTCAGTGTAAGTAATTCAGTGACATCAAAATTTTATTGTAATATAAATATTTATATGACTGCATTATTATTATTTTTCTTGCGACTCTGCAAAATATTTATTATTCTTAAAATGCATATTGATACGTTTTTATCGACTTTTTATTTTCAACATCATGAGTATCCAATTATTCTGTAGTTAATTAAAAAAATTTACCTCAAGCATTTACTTATTGCAAGCATCTGCTTGCAATTTTTACAAGCGTAACTGAACTTAGCCTGCTGGATGCACAAAATAAGTATTAAAACATAAAAGATTTTTAACTCAACTAAAATTATTTTAGTAAAAACTTTCATACTTAAATTTTGTATTGGTTTACTTAAAATGATTTAAGAATAATTTCTTTAACATTGGATTGTGTATAATTTGTTAACTTTTTTATTTTTTGAAAAACAATTTTTTTTCCTGAAAATTATCTTTAAATATAAGCAGGCTTTTAATGGATTGTCAAAAGTAATTTAATAAAAGTAATGCAGATTTCCTATAAAGAGACCTCTTTTGTCTTTAGTAAAAATTATTAATGAAACAAAAGTGCATTGCAAAACAGAAACTTTTTAAAATTCCATGAATACTTATTTTATAATTATATATATATTTGCATTGTTGTATTTGTGTACTTAATATTATTCAATGTTGACAATCTTTTTTCTGTGTGTATTTTGATGTGCATGTGGTTGTGGGGAATTATTTGATGTATTATATTTTATATTAAAAAAAAATTATTGTTGGTCTCCCTCTCTCTCACTCTTCTTTTCTGTATTATTTTATTACCATTGATGGTCAAGTGGCATAAATAAAACTATTAAGAAAAAAGAACAGGAAATTATAAATTTAAATAAATTATCTCTTTTTTTTTAAAATACTCTTTTTTCAAGCTCTGCGGTGCCTCATGTGATAGAGTGCTCGTCTCACAGCGAGTTGAACCCAGGTTCAAATCCCTGCTGTGGCTGGTCGATACAAAATTTGCTCCTCGTTGCACTGACCACATTGATGGCGTAAAATATCCTCAGTGCTATCATGGGTTAGAATCCCTTTGTCATAGGGCTAACTGTGGGAGGTTTTCATCGATTTTTTCTCCATGTAATGCACATGTGGGTTAGTTTCATCAAAAAGTCTCCTCCCAAAGCTAACTTGTCCCAATACTTAATCTCTTTTCTTCTGGATTGGGTACATAATGAAAATTGTTTGAGTTGAACATTCATAGTCATAAATTCAAAATTAGGTTGGCTGTTAAATTTTTGTTATAAAATAAAATTAACTTTCTAAAAATTAAATATAGTATAGAACTTTTTTGAAAAGTTTTGCTGCTTCGTTTCTGTGAGGTAAAATGTTCTGTTCCAGTCCACGCAAGAAATGTTTCTATCTTAAAAACTACAAAATTGATAATGCAAAAAAGAAACACTCTCTTTATGTGTGTTCTTTTCTGTGAGTTAATAGTTTAGTGAGAAAGTTCTCCATATGTGACTTTTAAAACTTTTTAGTTTTATTGGTGCGAGTGAATAAAAATTGAACTAAAAGCATAAGTTGAAAAATGTTTTTAAGAAATATGTTAAAACATGTATTATGCTGTAAAAAAAAATTTCTTTTTTTCTTTGAAAATTCGTTTAGTTGATCTTTGAGTAAGGTGCATTGAAATAGGCTGATTTAAATGTTTAGAGATGAAATGTCCAGTTTATTTTAAATCATAACATATATTCCTCCTAAAAAACTTCATAAAAGAAAAGTTTACGTGTTGTAACTGACACCAAACTTTTAAACCAAGTGTCATTTGTAAATTCATTAACTGTCGAAAAGTCACTTGATTTTAAAGGAAAGAATTAAACTCATTTGTGTTAAAGAATTGATTATCATAGCACGCTTAATTATATTTTCTGAAAGTGTATTTCACTTAGTTTTTTTTATCAGATATTTTATTGAAACTGATTGGTGATATGTCTTTAATTTAAAAAATATAGAAAACTGATTCACGACAAATCTGTTTATTTGAGTATTCTAAATTCAATGAAATGAAATAGAAAAAAATGAAGAAGGAAAAACAATTTTTTAAATATTCAACTAGAAAAGCAATAATTTGTCTATATGGCCATTATAGAATATGAATATACTATTTTCTACAACAAACCTTTCACATGCAAAAGAAAGGGGGTTGAAAATTTGATAAGAAGAAAACATAAAATCAAAATGCAACAGTTCTATATAATACTTTCATAGCTGCCAACTCTACAGGATTTTGCTAGTTTCTCCTGGTCGACTGGTTTAATAAAAAATACTCCTGGTTTTTGAACATTTTAGAAAATTCCCAAAAAATTGAGTAAGTTTTATTTAAAAAATCACCTATTGAAATAGAATTTTTGTACAGATTATTGCTTGCTTGAATATTTAAGCAAGTGTCATTTAATGCATAAGAAAGCGAGCCTCGTTTATAAAATTCAGTCTATCACTACTCAAAATTATGAATAAACATAATACATAACATTTCAAGATCATTTAGTGGGAAATTATAACTGGAAAATCTGGCAGTTTTTCTATTTTGATGACTATAAAAATCCCTATGTATACAATATTTAGTATATTTTGCAACAATTATCATAAAATTTATATTATAGCGTAAAATCTACTATATTTTTCCCCATACGTGTTGGCAGCTATGTACTTGAGATTCCTTCATAATTTGGTCATGTAGATTTATTTCTTGTGTGTTAAGAAATTCATACAAATACTATACATATATATGTATATATACTATATGTATATATACTATATGTATATACATACATATACTTTCATACATATATATACATACAAACATATACATACATATATACGTATATTGCATGGAAGCATTTTTGGATGTGCATGATTTGGGATATTGCATGTTGGAAACCAATGAAGTGGTCCTACTTGAAGCCTTGAAAAATACAATGAGCTTGTGAAAGTCATTATTGCTCTTAAACAATCAGAGGTTGTGATTCTGGCATCTACGGGAGTGTGTTTGACTGTTTGTGAAGATAGCAGGTTTAACATACCCTGAGAAATGTTCCTTTTTTTATATTTTGTGTAATCAGAAAATTTGAAATGTTTAATAGATCTTAAATATGCAGATCTTAAACGCATTTCTTTCAGGAAATTCTTTGAAATTGAAGCAATTCGTGAAGGTAACATTTTCTAAATCAAAAGTGCTACCTATATCTATAGGCATCGTTCATTCCTAGCTGGTACTTTACAAATTATACATAAGAGCTTTTTAGCAGCATTTCGCTTATGTTCTAAAGCCTATATCTATTTTAGCCGATACAGTAAGCATTTTCCATAAAATATTTATTACCTTGATTTGGTAAAAGTGAGTCAATTTTTTGGTTCCAACGAGATGGAACTTATTATCTTATGGGGCCAGAATACATCTTACTGCCTGCAATGAAATAAACACTGAGCTCTGTGAAAATGTGGCTTGTCATTATAATACGCAGAGTTTATAAATTTTCTATTTACTTATTTCTACTAGAATGTCTTATTCAAAAGGAAACATTCAAGGCTTCAAGTGTTTTGCATGATTTGGGGAAATTAACACAAACTGGAGAGACTCATAAATTAGAATTTTACTTTCATTTCAGCCACATAAAGTGTGTTACTGGTGCTTACTGCAAACTCCCGCCGCCTACAGAACCTCCGAGCATTCAAATAATGGACAACGATACGTTCTTCAAAAGCAGGGGAGAGACCCTCGCTCCAATCATTCTCTGCCTTGTAGTCACGTGGGCGGTCGCAGCATCACATTTGATTTAATCCCTTCAGCCCTTCCCTCAATAGTGGGCCGTTTCATGTATCGAAAGGGGAACGCGACTTTCAGGGAAGCAAACATTCGATTGAAATCGTAAAAACGAGCATTAAATTCCTCTCAAAACAAAACATACTTTCCAACTTTTTATCTTGGAAAAAAATATAAAATTTGAAACTTTAGTCCGACCAGAACTATTTTTTTTACTTCAAAATTCTTCATTATACTTTTCTTTGTTCCTGCCTACGAGGGATATGTACCGTTTTCTGTCCAGCTTCACTGTGTCATAACTCTCGAGGACAGACAATTTTCCTCCGTACTGTTAAAACTTAATAATCCTCAAAATACAAACAGGTGACGATAATTTTTGTAAAAAAAAAAAAAATGGACAAAAACCATTCCTTTTTGATGATACCGTGAAGGGGGAGAACTGAAGGGGTTATTTCACATTCATTGGGAGTTTAATAAAAGATTCTTTAAAGCGGCACCTTTTATTTATTATTGTTTTGTTAAATTGTGATGTGGCTATTTTTATACACTCTTGTTAATGTGATTATTAAAAGACTATGTGGAAGGAGAAAAAATTATTTGTATTATTATAAATTTTTTTCGGATCTACTGGTACCTGAATGACCCTCGTCATTCAGGTACCAGTAGGCCAGATTTGTTGGTCACTCTTTCAGTGGTAGTATTAGGTGGACCAACATTGAGTATGGAAATTATAGGTTAATATAAATGCTTATATTGCTTCTATATTTTTGCATTTCGTCTTTAATTTTATAGCTTGGCTATATTGAAATAATAAATGGGACAAAATTTGAAAATTATGTGTTATTATAAAAGCAAAATATAGGCCTTCATATGCTGAAAACACAAGAAATATTCAAAAAAATTTCATACTGTATCGGATGTTTTTATAAAAAAAAAATATATTGATAGGGATAACAAGGTGCGTAGCATTTTTAAAAAATGCTTAAAGGTGCTTTTTTCATTGGGTGTTTTTAAAAAGTGCTTAATTTTCCCCTTTTCAAACTAATATTTTTCCTTTACCATATTGAATTTCGCTACGAATTATACAAAAAGACACAGTTCACATTGTTCTATTCAACGTTTTCTCAATTCAACCGCAATCTATTTCGGCGTATGGTCAGTCCGTAGCGTATGAAAACGCCATTCGTTTTACATGATTCAAAATTTCATGATTTTTGACAATTGTCAAAAACAATGCCATAAGGTTTAACAAACAAGATAGAATTGTCAAAAACTTTCCAACCCTGCCTAATTATATTTTTTTAAAGTGCTTAAAAATATTTTTTTAGTGCTTAAAAGGTGCTTATTTTTTGTTGAATATTTTGGCTACGCACCCTGGAGTATGTAAAATAATTTCTTTAAATGACCATAATGGGGAAAAAGGTAACATTAAAAAAAAAAAAAATTTTTTTTAATGTTGTACTGAAAGAAAAATTTCGTAGCTAATAATTAGCCTTTCTTTACACACGTGACGACCCACCACAATAAGATTCGGACCCTCGCTCATGTGTTCGACGCTTGTTCATACTTCATCCCGGGATCATGGTCGTGTGGCTGGTTATCGAGAATCAAACTTCGAATTAAATTATTATTTTTTAAAAATATTATTTGTTTGAAAAATATATTTATAGGTTTTTTTTACTCACATATTCTTAGGTTAACTTTCTTGGTCGTTAGAATTCTTTACATATAAGTTTTACTAAAGATGGAAAGAAAAGTGTGCCGCAGAAAAGTCTTTTTTTTTTTGACAATTTCCTATTCTCTAGGTGTGAGGGGGGGGGAATTGCTTTAATATCAGTGAATAAAGCATATTAATAACAAGTAAGTATATTAACGGCAGTGAATTTATTTATAAGCGAGTGAATGAGTTTATAACTTCATAAAAAAAATTTTAAACCTACAAGTTGTGTTACAAAGATTTTTCATTTTTTTAAATAATTTTTAACAAAATTGCGACATGATGAATGCAAAAAAATATCATTGAAATGTGTATAGTTAAAATAAATACAGCACCCTAAATAACTTTTGATTTAATGATCGGATCTTCCTGCTCTAGAACTCAATCTTAATAATTCAAGGTGGTGACCTCAAATATGCTGATTGATTAGTGTTGTCGTTATTACGAAATCAAACACAAAAACGTACTTTTTCCTGAATAAACTTATCTTTTTTCGATGGATTCCGATTTTGAATCTTAAAAGGGATCTGGAAAATAGGGTCCCAATAGTTTGGACAGGAGAGCGGTCCAAAGTTTAAACCTCTTAACGTTTTTTAAGAGAATTGAAAAATTTTGCACACCATTAAAAAATTCGTTTATTAATTCCGTGCAAAATATAAGTTTTAGTAAATATTTATTATTATATTATTTAATAAGAGTCAAAAAAAAAATTTTAAGTTCACAATTTTTGACACCATTTTAAGGAATATAATTTTACAGGGCAAAATATAAAATTCAAGCCGGTCGAAGCTCAGAAATTAAATTTTAAAAAAGTCGTATTTTAAAATTCGATATATTTCCCAGATTGTGGCTGTCCTCTGTATATGTCGAAATAAAAAGTTTTTTCAGAGAAAGTATATTTTTATGTTTGATTTCGCAACTTAAAATATAGTCTGCACTAATTAATTTGCATATTTGAAGTCACCCCCTCAAACCATTACGATTCAGTCCTAGAACTCATAAGGTCAAAAGTTATTCAGGGTGGTTGCACACTCTACTTAAATAATACATTTAAGATCAGTTAGGTCTCAATATTACGAAAAGAAATCCTTTCGTATGGGCTTAAAAAATTAAATCTAATCACCAATTCAATAAATGTTGGCATTTAATTACTAATTCGAATAATTTTTAAAACTGATTTTTCATTGTAAAGGCTTATTAACCTGTTATTTTGTTTATTCTTCTTTTTTTTAGTTCTTGAACAGCAGCTAAATGCCAGGCATGCATGTCTAAAAAGCTAAATTTTTTCTTTATGTTTTAAATCCGTGCATTCTTTTAACTAAAAAGAAATTTATAACAGTTTGTTTCGTTTTGGCCAATAGAAAACCTTACTATCGAATTTCATTGGCTTATAAACTGCTGTTTGTAGAAAATGCAACACCATGAAGGAATCATCAGAATCAAATGAAATATTATTTTAATAATGGAT